AAAATCCTATTTACCATCTGGTTATTTAACATAGCCATGGAAAATCACCATGCTATTAATAGGTAAACCCGGGTAAACCATCTATAAATGGGCCATCTATACCATATGGCTATGTTAAATAACCACAGGGTAAATGGATAATTTAGGGGTACCCCCATTTCAGGAAACTTCCGAATCTGTGTTTCCGATGTTTTTCCCAGCCATAGCAACCTCCATTTAGTTCGTGGGATTTCTCAGCTTCTACAGCTTCCCGCTGAAGCTGTCACTCTTAAAAGGATATTGACCCATCAAAAATGGTGGATTTAACTGATTGACTCTGTGGCTATTTAACATAGCCATGGAAAATCATCACTTTCAATAGGTACATCATCGAACTAAATGGGTAATTTTCCATTTCGCTATGTTAAATAACCAGAGGGTAACCATGACAAATTGGGATATTCATGGGATTTTATGGGATACCCTCAGTCGTAATCGATCACAGTTTGATTGCGAACCGGAACATCGCTAATTTACAAGGCTCCGTACATCATCTACAAACGGCCGGTTTTTTCATAGCAGTACTGACCGAAACTAAAGGCAGTAGAGCTGAAGTAAATTATAAATCATCTATAGATCATCTACAAACGGCCGTTTTTCATAGCTAGGTATAGCTATTTTAGATTACCAAAGGAAGTCCCTATTTCTGGACTCCCTTGCCACGTAGTCACTAGCAGTACTGACCGAAACTCGAAAGGCAGAATAGCTGAAATCACTATTTGAAGTAAATCATAAATCATCTATAGATCATCTAGAATTGGGCCATGGCTACCTATGTGAAAAATAACCAGAGGGTAAGTTTATTGTATAGATATTGTAGCGTAGCAGTATGGCTAATAATGTTTGTTCTGTGAGTTCTATGAAGGCACCGAAGGCAGTCAGGCAAGACCTTGTGAATTTGTGAAGCATTTTGGTGGACCCATGGACCCACGAAAAGCCCTGCCTTGACGTCAACCGCCGCAGCTTTGGCGGCCTTGACGGCACCAGGATGGTGTACGTGGTATATCAAGTGTTGATTTTAATATATTGGGAATATAATATATATATACATATTTATACTGTATATAGATTTGCGGGTGGTGGTCTAAACACCTTCTCAGAGGATATTTGAAAGCACTACAAATCTATGAATGGTGCGGATTTCTATGAAACCCTATCAATCTTCGAATATCAAGTCAAGCTAGATTACACGAGATATGTACCTGGGAACTCCATGCAAAATTGCCATGAGTAGGGGGGCATCCATAACCTCAGGACTGACTGTCAAATGGTATCAGGTTGATGAGTTCAATCATCAAAAATCCCAAAAGCTACAATGTGGGACCGCCCAATTATAAGTTGGTTTCTAAATCCCATGAACCATAGTTATAACTTATAACTCTCACAAACCACAGTTATTGGAGTCCTCCAAAATACCAACCTAGCTATCTTTTGGGGGTTTCGCTTTGTAGAGATAATCCTCCCATGTTTCGACAATGACAAACCTTGAAAAATATTGAAACATATTGAAACATGTTGAAACATATTGAAACCATCATCCAAATGTTTATCGCATTTCAAATACGAACATGGTGATGTACCCGTGGATGTTTCCTCTGGACGCTCAAAAAAAATTGGTGGAGCCTCACCTCACCCAACATCAAGATCCAGGTCCCTGTTCCAAAAAGAAGATCCAGAAATGGTTTAAAGGAACATGTACAAAACTGGATCTACTTTACAATGTTGCGGAAGCATGATCAAACATAGTTTATGATAAGAATGTCCTTTCAACGTAAGCATCAGCCAGCTTTCAGCAGTGCAAAGTCAACAAAAAGGGCCCAAAAGACGGCCGCCTTCACATCTTTGGAAGCCTGGCACTGCAATTCGTCACACGACACGACACGTCAGTATCCCGAGCTGTTTCTGGGCCCAAAACCGGGGATATAAAATGATAACAAATACAACACATATAAATCATGACTGAATGCTGTAGTTTCCATAATGTTCAGGCATTTACCAAAGATCTAAGATTACATCTTTCTTGGGCAGCCTTAAACTGGAAATCAAGCTTTTATATATAGTTGTTTTGTCATTTTTGTTCATTTTCATTTATATTTGTTTCATAAAATTAATTAACGTTTTTGTTCATTGCCAAAATGGGTTTTCATTTAGATGTTCATTGGGATTTTCATGTGGCTTCATAGCATGCATCTTGTTTATTAGCAATGCTTGCTTTGCTCCTCAGCCAAAATGTCTTGGAAACATGTTGTGGTACTTTTGCAAAAGAAGCAATTTGAATGTAACTGTAAACACAGACAGGAAACAAACACAAGACAGCATAACGCGACATTAGGACACAATGAACAGGAAACACAAATCCAAAAACCAAATGAAAGAATGAAGATGGTTGACAGCATGAACATACAAATGAAAACATGAAAGCCACAAAACAGTTGACAATACAATGAAAATGTCTGACGACATGAACATGTAAATGCAACAAAGAATGAAAACCAAAATCCAAAAAATGGAAAATAACATGAAAAGAACAGGAAGAGAGAATGAAAAAAAATGAACAAAAACATGAACACCGAAATCCAAATGAAAAAAGAAAAAAGGAAATTAAAACTGACATCCACATGAAAAAACCATGAAAAACAAAATGAAAAAACAAAAGTTTTGTTTCCGGTGGGAAAATCGAACTTCTCCAAAATCGGAAGAAACGTACATTTCCTAGGTAAAATTTAATGTTGTGTTTTCCGTTTTTGAGTTTTTTTGCCAACATCCCAGCAAAATCTCGCTAAAATCCCCAATGACAATCTAAATGTAAACCCATTTTGGCAATGAACAAAAAGATAAGTTTGTGAACAAAAAATGTAAATGAACATGAACAAAAATGAAAAAAAAACAAGTATTTTTAACTTCCCTCAGCTAGAGGCTGCAAGATGTTCATAAATCTAAGATTTTCCTGATGGATCTTAAGTGTGGTGTTTAAGCCATCCGTCTGATGGATCTGTCGAAAGTCGGGAGATCGGATCATCCAATGCAGGGCACCAACATGGCATCCCATGGCCTGTCTTTCGCTGAAAATTCCATGGAAATTTGGATCAGTTGCTGGTACCCCTGTTTTAGGAACACTAAAAAGTCAAGGCGTCCAGTGGAGCACCTGGTGTCATCTTCGACAACGAAACACCCCATGTCGCACAGCGCAGCACAGCGCAGCACAGCGCAGCACAGCGCAGCGCACACCTTTTCGAAAGCACAATTTCAAAGAAAACATGCAATCAAACACTGCTGCAAATCACTCATCTGGTTCGCGGAGCTTCGCGGAGCTGCTCAAAAAGCAGCTCCACCACCAACCGTTGTGAGATTGCTGCGGAGCTCTGGGTAGCCTAACACCTGTAGTGAAAACTGCCTCGACGAATCTCTCTCTCTCTCTCTCTGTGAAGTTTCTCTTTTTTTCCGCCAACAGAGTACTGTAAAATTACATATGGATCTATATAAATGGCAATATACATATTAGTAAATAGTTCACTAATCTGAAACACTGCCAGCCATGGTGGAAGTTACATCAATTCTCTCGTGACAACTCACAGTGAGCTGGAACCAAAATGTTGACCGTATTTGACGTCATCACCACATCGCATGTCAAGAATATCTGACCTTACCCTACGATACCCCTTGCAACATTATATATAGAATAATAATGACTAATATACAATAAATGTACATAAATGTGATTCAGCTTCCAGCAATGACCAATAACATATACACTCTTCCATTGTCTGACTGCTGGAAATTTGGCTCAGGAAGGAACAATTTTCAAAGATTTACCTTGGTATCGCCACCTGGATATGCATGCTCAATCAAACTTGTAACAAATACCAAATACACGCTACCTGCTACCATCTCTCCACGTCTCCCTTGCAACATTATATATAGAATAATAATGACTAATATTATCTATAATCTATGATCATAGAATGTTGGTTGCGTCTTGGTCTTGGCTTGATAAGTCTATATATATATAATTATATATACGTATACTGTAGAATATAGAAATGCGATGAAATGTCCATCTTTTGACGACCTTTTCACAACAGGTGTAGCCCTCAACAAGCGCCGTTTGTAGAAGCGCCGAGCCAAACTGCCCAGCACAGTGAGGATCGTCGTAAGCTGGTGATCTGTGCCATTTCCTCAAACGGCGAGCCGGCGGTTTCAAGCAGCATAGGAATTTAACAGGGACATCCCACTTCTTATTGTTTTCCAATGGATATAAATCAATAATCAAGTGGTTGGCGGAGGACCGCCATGAAAGTCAATAAAGGTCACATAATACCACCCGCCAGATGCAACCAGTTCGGATCCACAAATCGCGTTCATGGCTTCCTTGCCCACGATTTTGCTTGGCTACCCTCCGAAGGGCGAGGGGCGTATGTTCGGAAGCAGTGCGTCACAGGCATGCCACCCATGCGGAGCAGGAACTGAGGTCTCCAACCGAAACCTGCAGCCCTGTTCGCTGGGGAAGAAAGACCTGGCTTCCATCCAAACTACAGATTCTATGAAACTATAATTCATAGAAACATAAAAAAAACTGGAGATGATCAACTGGTTGGCGGTTCCAAGTCAACAAACCAAACAAATTTAATCAATGTTCAAAACAAACAATGATCCCCGCATGAGAAGGGAAAACAACAACTTGAAAGCAAATCCTTTGAAACTCCAACCACCAACATCTGCCGGCTTCAAACACTTTGCTGAATAACGCGTGTCTGCTTAAAAAAAATAGTATGAAGCGGTGGGTCATGGCATGGGCACGGCTCAACCCACCTACCTTGCACAAACAACTCGCAACTCCTCAGTGATACTTGGAAGTGCAGTTCCAGTTATAAGTATAAGTGAACAGTTATGAAAAGTCACTATAGAGTTCTAAGTTATAAGATGTTATAAGGGTATCAAAAAACTCATGGCATGTCCTTGACATTCTCTCAACTGCACCACCTTGGTGACTCAACCAACTGTTCTACAGGGTCACCGATTTCACCCGTTGCGAATGCTCCAAGAGCTGCAAGACCCGGCGATGCGATCCGTCGCGGTTCGCCTCCTCCGCGATCTGCCACGCCGTCCGTCCCTCGGCCGCGCCGGTCTGAGGGTCCACGCCGAGGTCCAGGAGAATGCGAAGCATGGGGACATCCGCCGTCTGGGCGGCCACGTGGATGGGATACATGCACTCGAAGCGAACCTTTCCTGGGGAGACTTGACATGGCACAATTGGAATTATGATGGATTATATATATACATGATATGTAAATCAGCAAAATAAGCCAACCAAAAGTAGCTAGACCTTCCGAGTACCCAGGAAAATGGGGTAATATATTCTATGAATTTGAGACTCTTTTGTTCATTTTCATGGGTACTTGAGGGTCTAAGGAGATAGCCGATGATTTCGCAGGATCTGGTTTTCAAGATTCCCTACATGTTCACCAAGTTCGTGGTTTCAACCCTTAGATATATCATAAACCATAGTTGCCATAGTGAAATTGGAATTACAAAACCAACTTAATCCAACTTAGCTATCTAGTTTTCCAGACTTTGTATAGATGTTGATCAACCATGTGTTTTCAACAGGTGTTAACCATCATTTCTTCACACTTAACACACCCCCATCACTCAAAACTTTCGACCCATCCCCAAACAACCAAGTCCTGTAAGGTGGTGCCCCCCAAGTTCTAAGTTGGTTGAATCCCAGTCTTGTTCTTGATTACCCTCCAGTAAATTAACAGTTCGACCCTGCCAGTCATCGGGGTTGGAAGATTAGTTTCCACTAAAAATCGGAGATGTTCAGGGTCTATCTTAATTTACCAGAGAGTTTTTTTTTGTTCACCAAAAAACCACACGTTTTCAAAGGTCCCAGATATTACAACTTCGCGAACAGCAAAATCAGTCGTCAGCAAATCGCTCCAAGTATCCATTGAGCCTCCGTGGGCTATGTTCATCCACAAAGCCATGCCGCTCCAGAAAATTCGACAAATGCCTTTTCCTCACCATCCTGGGGTGGAATTTCCCAGAAAAACAAAAGCTGGTTTATGACATGGACACGTGTTTTTGAAGGAAAAAACGCCCTGGAGATTTATGATGTTTTATGACGCTATAGTTATAATGTTATATATAATGTTATATATATATATACACGTATTCATTCGTTTACGCGGAATTCACTCAATGCCTGGCCTGTTTCCATATCACTTTGTCAACTTGCTGGTTCATGATACTAGGCTAAGTGGGATTTATGGTTGATATTGTGCATATCCCGACAGTTGGTTGGTGTATGGTTGACACTTATCTATATACATCTATATACATGTGTCTGACTAATGTGGTAAACGCAATGACATAAACAACTAGCATTTGAGGATTAGCATTATACAGCATCACCCATGTCTGGTAAGTTCTTGGGGATTGTTTAGTATTGCCGCACTATGTGCATGTGGGATCACCCAGAAACCAACGGCACATCAAAAAGGCGGAATATGTCCCAAAACGAACAAAAGGACAAGGTTTTGACCAACGGGTTCTTTGTCAAATCTCACCCGGCACAAACTGGTTGGTGGTATACCTACCCCTCTGAAAAATATGAGTTCGTCAGTTGGGATGATGAAATTCCCAATATATGGAAAGTCATAATCCATTCATGTTCCAAACCACCAACCAGCCAAAAAATGTCAGAAAAAAATCAGATCTCTAGGGCTATGATCCAGCATCTGAGGCCATGAATCCTGAGGCCAGGATGTTTGCCTGTAGAACTCCAGCAGGTTCATGTTCTCGAGAGACGGCTGCTCCACCATTGGTGAAAAGAGGTGTCCACGTGAGACTCGGCCGGATACAAATTGCACCTATAAATTGAGCCGGAAAAAACGGCTAAGATCAGGCAACATTTGGCCAGCGACCTGAAAATCATAGCAAGGAAATACGCTGCTGTTAAGATAGGTAAAAAGTGAACGTCAATATTTTGCATGTGGTGTATAATATTGTGATCATGAACAGTACCCTCTGGTAAACTAACATAACTATGGAAAATCACAATTTTTCATGGGAAAATCCACTATAAATGGTGATTTTCCATAGTTATGTTAGTTTACCAGAGGGTATCACAACCGAATTATCCAAGACGTTTCCCACATACCGAAGACCTCAGAACGGCAGCTCTGGCCAGGCGCAGCTCTTTGCTTTCGATAATTCTGCAATGTCTATGCACCCAGTTAGTTATAGTTGGTTGATAAAACCAGTTATATAACCATAGGATTAATGGCATTTCACAGGATATATATATATACATTATAGGGTTTGATACTGTGGATGGAAGAAATCCTGCACCAGTTGATAGAAGGTTTATCCCATTATTTGTAGGGTTTCAACCATCCAAGGTGGTGCAGGAGTTTGCAACCATCCCCAGTAGGATTTAAGAACCACCCTTTGTGATGTTTGCTGATTGAGTTTCACCCCATAGTAAAATTGGGAGTTGTCTTCACCAACCAATCGCGATTTCGTTTGGTCGTTCGGGGGCCGCGTGGGCCCACTGGAGTTCTCGATAAGCAACTGGATACTTGAATAGTTCTTAGTTTGCATTCTGATCAGTTCTTGATCATAGCTCTTTTATGATACTGTATTTGTTTGCCCAATAAAAAAATGCTGGTTGGTGGTATACCTACCCTTCCGAAAAACTATGAGTGAACGTCAGTTGGGATGATGAAATTCCCAACTGAATGGAAAGTCAATCCAAATTCCATGGTTCCATTTTTGATTATTATATCCCATTATATCCCATTAAAAAACACTATGATATCCCATTAAAAAACCATGTTCCAAACCACCAACATGAACCCCGCATGGATCTACGGATGAAAACAATACCTGGAAGTCATAACGTGACGCCGTGACGGCAACAAACCCACGGATGTTTTTCACGACCAGTGAACCAGTGGAACCAGTGCCCGTTCCCAAGGGTTGATCCAAATACACATGCTGGGGTTGATGTTTTTTTTTTTTGTGGAAGGGTATTCAATGGGTATTCAATATAGGCCTTATATATGGAATCGGTACCTCCAATTTAGGTTCCTGAAATGGCCATTGAGGTTTTGATATTCATTTGGTATATCAAAAATATTGGAATGGGTACAAAAAGACTTGATTCAAATGATTTGTTTTGTTGATTGAATTCTCCATGTTTCTTGGCATAGATCATGTTTCTTGGCATAGATCATTGGCCAATATTACCCTGCAAAAAACATCAGTGGGCAATTTTTCTACGTCTGTTTTTCTAGCAAAATACGATTTCGTATGAATATCCCCATGCACAAAAATCTGCATGTGGTTCCTGTAAAATCGTGTTTTGCTAGAAATCCATCGTTCCGGATGTTTCTCTATCCCCATCCACATTGGTTCCTGTAAATCTGCATTTGGTTGAATTCCCAATTTGTTTATGCCTAGAGAATCCGTGAATCTGATGCTAAGGATATCTCGCCTCAGTTCAAGCCACCGAAATCCACATCTTGCTTGCTGAATTCACCATTCCTCTGGGTTAAAGGCCCTTCCGTCCCCCATTTGTATGGGAAAATCATGATATTTCCCACACCAGATGTGGTTGGTGGTTGACCTACCCGAAAAATCATGGAGTGAACGTCAGTTGGGAGTATGAAATTCCCAACTGAATGGAAAGTCATAATCCATTCATGTTCCAAACCACCAACATCCACCAACCATGGATCCACTGATGGATACTGGAATAAAAACCTGGAAGTCATAACGTTGAACCATCAACCAGAGATTCTTTCGGCGATGATTTCCCCAATCCCAGCGATCATGGTGAGGTCAAAACGGGGTCTTTTGTTGTTTTTTTACCCACCTTCAACCGGACAACCCAACTGAATGGAAAGTCATAATCCATTCATGTTCCAAACCACCAACATCCACCAACCATGGATCCACTGATGGATACTGGAAAAAATACCTGGAAGTCATAACAGTGAACCATCAACCAGAGATTCTTTCGGCGATGATTTCCCCAATCCCAGCGATCATGGTGAGGTCAAAACGGGGTCGTTTGTTTTTTTTTGCCCACCTTCAACCGGACAACCCACATTCAAAATTGGAGACCCCGTTTTGACGACATCGCAAAGCTGGCGAACACAACTCCAATGTCACTACGGTTTAAAATATTTATAACATTTTATAACTATATATTATAGTATTTATAACCAGTATGCATGTGGTTTGTTTCCCAAAGAAACATCACTGGGGGGGACACTCAAATCCATTGAATCCCATGTTCATCCAAGAAGAAATCCCGTAATCCCATGGTTTGGTCATGTTTGATATGGATCTAAACGTGTATAAATCAACTATAACTATAACTTATAAGATCCATACCAAACAGTTATATATGTTGCCAAACTTATGTTAACCAACTGTACCTAACTTATGTTAAACAACTGTTTGTTACATCCCCCAAACACCAAAAAAAACATCTTGACCCAACGTCCCTATGCACCTGCAGGCCTGGGTCGCTTGGAGTTCTGCCCATCTGGGCACGAACCTCGCTTAAAGAAGGTTTTTTATAAGCACCAAACAATGAGATTTTTCATGGGATGTCATAGGATTGAATGGGATTTAATAGGATTTAACAATAGATTCAGACGTATTTAATGGGATTTGGGATCAAACACCATCTAACCATAGGATTGAATAGGCTTTACCATGATTAAATGCAGGATTTCATGTGATGCAAAATGGTACAAAATCAGTGGATATCCCGAAAAATTGGAGCCCAAGGGATGATTTTTACATGTCTCCTCTTAGTGATCCTTCCAGCCAATTTGCTGGTTTCTTTTAATATTAGCAAATGTTCCCAAATTTTACATTAACAATATATTGGGTAGTATAATCCCCGAACTAATCATCAACCAACAGGGGTTTTGAACACAATTTTTATGTGAGTCGACTGGTTCTCAATGTTTAAGTGGGACTGGCAGGGACTGAAAACCAGTGTTTTCATGAGTTGCAACTCGTGTGACGTTGCAATGCGCCACAATTTGCGATCGGCCCTCTGTGGAAATGTGGAGAGAACTGGACACTTTCCTGGAGTTGTCTGGTCAGTACCCTCTGGTAAACTAACATAGCTATTGAAAATTGATGATTTATAGTTGATTTACCCATATATGGTGATTTTCCAGCGTTTTTTGTATGTTTACCAGAGGGTATCAGTATGGCCTTGCCCAACTTCCTGCATCGCCAGCGCCCCGGGATTGCCACTTCGACTCCGCCATTGTTCTGGACAGGCTTTGGGGCTTAAAACCGACTGTTGCGTTCGTAGTCCCATGGGTCATTTATGGGGCTCAGGTTCACACGTGTCAAATGCCTCAACCCACGCTTCCTTCCACAATCCTGATGACAGGATGCAAGTTTAAGGCACACATGACAAAATTCTAATAAAATTCCAAAAGACAAAAAACACGGCAATTTGTGTGCAGTTGTCCACCAAAAAAGGCATAGGTGGGGACTTCAACCATGAAAAATTGGGGGTTTCATGGTCATTCAAAACCACGTTACTATTCAACAGGGTTACTGTTCAAAGAGGTTACCTTAACAGCCTGACATTCTTCAAAATTAGGAAAACGTCCAAAACACAACCCAAAACATTAAAAAATACTTCCAAAACATTCAAAAACTTCCAAAAACAGTTCATCAAAGATTCAAACAACTTCCAAAACATTCCGGAAAATGCTAAAGAAATACTAGCCCAAAAGTACCGAATCATTACAACTAATTCCAAAAAAAATCCAAATCATTCCAAAAATCCAATTCATTCCAAAAGAAACCAATCATTCCAAACAATAACAAGTCATTCCTAACAACGAACACATTCCAAAATCAGTCCAACAAAATCCAAAACATACCAAATTCATATCAGAATTCATATGACGTTTTCGGAATGTTTCGGAATGATATTCTAACATCAGAAAACTATTTAATAGTATCCTATTGAATGGTGTCCCTATCCGCATTAAAGAGGAGGTTCCATGGGATTTCAATCATGACATGGACATAAGCACCAATAGCTAAGTTAATTAGAAAAGAATGACACCAGCCAGTTCGAGTACCTGATTCGTCACTGATTGATGTCGGTATGGAGGTGGTGCACATGGTGCACGAGCCCCGATGCAACCAGTGGCGGGCTGGACATGCGCGCTTTTTTCAAGCGCTCAGCGACGTCAGAATTGTCGGAGTAGCAACGTCTCCATTTTTCTGAGAGATTGAAAAATGTGGATAGTATATGGTCAATAACCAACCAACGATATGTTCTTTGGGGTCCAAAAAAGGGTACCATCTTTGGCAATTTGTCGAGAAAATGAGGTTTTTAACCATGGAGTTTGTGGATACTCTCCAGGAATCAAACATGGTTACGGTCTGGTAAACATACAAAAGGCTATGGAAAATCACCATCTTTAATAGGTAAATCAACTATAAATAGGCCATGTTCAATAGCTATGTAACAAATTACCAGAGGGTACATAGTGCAAATTCATTCATGAATTTCTGCCTTCTTCACGATGATTTAGGACCAAGCACCCCTCTAGGTTGTCAGGAAAAGGGTTCGCTGCTCCCAGTTTTGCATGGTAGCCGCAGCCTGGTTATAGTAGATTCGCTGAACCACAGGTGAAGCGAAGTTGCGTGTGTGAAAAGAGAGAGCAGTGATCAGGTGCCAGGAGCCTCAGGCAGTAATGGCACAGACCATCACAAGGTCAGCCGATGGGGTTCCACAGTATGACGGAACGCCAGAGCTTTTGCCGCTGTATCGAGAAGAGTGTCTTCAGTACCTGATGACATTTGAACACAAGAAGCGGTACTTGGCAGCTCCACGTTTGGTGAAAGAATTGCATGGTGTGGCCAAGACGGCAGTTAGGGGCATGACCAACCGTGATCCTCAGTGGGTGGCCCATCCTAGAGGGGTTTACCAATTGTTGGACCACCTTGAGTCTGTTGTGTCACGCCCTAGCTTGGTGGAGGCATCCCGTTTTGTGATGAAGTTCTTTTACCAGATGTCTAGGAAGAGTGGAGAGTCAATGACTTCCTGGGTTGGCCGGCACTCGGAAGCTTTGTGGGAGGCGTCGCAGTCTCTGAGGAAGGTTCAGAAAGAGTATGGGCCGAGTGTGGCACGCCAGGTCTATTACCCCCAAGGATTCCAAAGATCGTCAGATTCCAGCAGTCAGACTGGCAGTCGGTCAGGTGAGAGAGTGAATGCAGATCCAGGGCCTTTCACGGACGATGGGAGGCTACAACAAGAGGATGATGAAAATGAGCCCCATGACTACGATTACTGGCGTAGGGAAAGTTGGGATTGGACTGGTTGGTATGGGCATGGCTCGAGCTGGACCTCATGCTCGTGGAGAGATGATGCCTATGAACCTCCCACAGAGTGGGACACTAGCTCAGAGATCTTCATTCCAGAATTCCTTGCAGGATTTCTGCTACTGCACCGGAGCCGCTTGGACGTCAATGAGCGGGCTAACGTGCTAGCAGCGATCAAAGGGGAATTCTCCATTTCGGCAGTTGAGAAGGCTCTTCGTGAACAGTGGGCTGACCAGGACTTAGCCCGCAGGGACAAGTTGAAGCAGAACTCTGCACTGATTGCCGAGGAAGATCTTGAGGATGAGGCCTTATTGGCCGATGAAGAGAACCCTGATGTCACCGACCTTGATGAAGAGACCCGGGAGGCATACTACCTGGAGCAAGAAAAGATTGAGGAGGCCATGGAGGCCATCAAGGTGCAGAAAGCCACCTTGAAAGAAGCCAGGTGGAAGCAGAAGCAGATGAAGCTCTCCCGGAACTTCTACCCAAGGAAACCTTTTCCTCATGGAGATGGACCGCCATCTTCTCGTCGTGGCAGCCAGGATGGGGGCTGTTTTCGGTGTGGCAGCATGACACATCGGATTGCCCAGTGCCCAATGAAGACTGTTCGAAAGGAGGCACAGGTTGCGTTTGAGGAGACAGCTCACATCGCCTTTTTCAGTGAAGAGTGCAACAGGGCCCATGAGAATCTGTGTGGTGAGGAGTCATTGCTGGGAGAGACATCGAACACGGTGCTGAACTCATGCATGGGTGTGATTGACTCAGGAGCCACTTCGTCTCTGGGATCCGTAGAGGCACTTGAGAAGGTGCTTGATGAGAATCGTCGACTCTCATGCCAGAATGTGATTGACATTGATGTGTCTCAGAGGCCAGCGTTCCGTTTTGGGAATGGCGCTACGAAGGAGTGTTTGAGCACAGTGCGGTTTGGACTGGAGGCCGGGAAGAAGTCGGGAACTATGGAAGTTCATGTACATGACTCACCAGGACAACCAATCTTAGTGAGCCGCAAAGCTTTGCAGTCGTTGGGTGCAGTCATTGATTTTAGCAATGGCACTGCTATCTACAAACATGTGGATCCCAACAGCGTAGTGACCTTAGAACGGGCAGAGAATGGCCATTTGCTGATGCCTCTGACAGGGAACATTGTCCACAATGCCCAGTCGAGGAAGACACCTTTCGTCTCGCTTTTTGAATAGGGACAGCTCTCCCCTGGGAACATGGAAAAAGACGCTGACCAGGGGAGCCATTTTCAACAAGAACCTCCAGACACTACAAAGGTGTTGGGGGCACAATTTAGCAGCAACGCTGAACTTCAGCAGTGTAGGGTTTGTACACTGTTATCGGTGTCTAGAGGGTTTTGTGGGTTCTGCCAGGTGGAGCATGTGAACGATGATTTGTTGATGAATGATGATGATGCTGATGACACACACAACCAACACATCACTCACACTCATTTCCATACCTCCTCCACTGACAAACAAACTCAGCAGCTTCCGGACTCAAGCTTGTGTTCACGACTGTCTACTTCCAGCCGCTTCCATGCCACTCCCAACTCGGAAGAGCGAGTGGATTGCCTTGCTGAACAGCCTTGGGCATCAGGTGGACGACAACTGGACAGTGCTTCAGATGAAGGCATTGTACTCCGAGGTGAAAGAGCAGCCATCGGAGAAGGAGACTCGTCTGAACAGTCTCTACAGCATCGCCAAGGAGAAACGTTCGGACCTGGGTATGCACCTCAGTCAGGACCTGGGATTGGTGGTCAATTCGAATGCGACAAAGGCTCAGATGGTTGCCTTGGCCGAGAAGAACATCTTGGAGAGGTTCGAGCCGGAGGGCACCGACAAGATGGGTTTTGGCCAGTATGCGGCCAAGACGATGGACGAGGTAGTGAAGGACCACCCCACTTATGTCCTGTGGGCAAAGCAGATGATGGAAGATCCGGAGGAGGTCGGTTGGAGGCTGAAGAGATTCGCTCGATATGCCGAGCAAGCACATGCCAAAGGGAAAGTTGCTGCTACCATCAACGTGACCAAGGGTTACCAGAAGCCTTCAGAGAGCAGCAAGAGTTCGGACAGCAGCTTCTCCGTGATCACCGCCAACAAGGTGGGAGAGGACCAGACATTCGACCAGAAAGACGAGGAGTTGATGGCACTTCGTCAGGAGCTCGAAGAATTGAAGAAGGAGAAGGAGGATCAAGACCGCACTCTAGCACGCAGCAAGAACCGCAAGGAGATGTGAGAGATGCTGAGAGCACCGAGGAATTGTCCGATGAGCAAGCCCTTCTCTTAGCACGTTCCTTTGAGGCCCGCAGAAATCCCTTTAGTGATCAATGGAAAGATCTGGTTCATCATGGGAGACCTTTGTTGATGGAATTAGCTTGTTATGAGAACAGCATCTTGAGTAAGGAGACCATTCAAAGGTTTGGGGATGGTGCCAGTATTCGGGCTAGCCATTGGAACGGGGTTGATCTCGAAACCAAGGAGGGTGTCGCTCTAGCTAAGACCATGGTTTCCAAGTTTCGACCTGTTCATCTTTGGGTGAGTTGTGAATGTGGTCCATACAGTCCTCTTCAACGTGTCAACCAACGTAACCCTGATCAATGTAGGCGTCTTGAGGAAAAACGAGATAGGGCTAGGTTGCAGTACCATGGAGCTATTGAAGTTTGCAAACATGTTCGCACTCTTGGTGTTGAAATCCACTTCGAGCTCTCCGAACGGTGTGAAGCTTGGAATCTTCCCCTTTTGATTGATTTCCTCAAAGAATTTGGGTTGGAAAAAGTGACCTGTCATGGCTGTGCTGTGGGTTTGCGAACCTTAGATCGTAAAAGTTCTTTGTGTAAGGGCTGGACTATCGCGACTAGGAATCAACAACTTCTTCAGCATTTGAGTTTGAAGTGTCAAAAGAACCACCCCAAAGCTCGATGTGAGGCGGGTCAGGCAGCTCACACGGCTCGGTATACCCCAGCTTTTGCTAGGAGGGTTGTGAATTGTTTGAGTGAGAATGAAGCTTGGTCCCATGTTTTACAAGAGCTACAAGGCTACGGTAACGAGGTTTTGGTTGGAGAATTGGTGGATGAGCCAGAGGGTGCGGAAATTGAAGGCATCACAGCAGCGGAGAAACATGACATTGAGCGAAAGATCCAACACATCCACAAGAACACTGGACATGGCAGCATGAAATCCCTCATTGCAGCACTGGAGGCTCGAGGAGTGGCAGACCAAGTTCTTCAAGTGGCTCGGGCATGGAAGTGTCCGGCATGCCAGGAAAGGAAACGGGTTGATCCCAGACGGTTTGCTACTTTGGAAACTCTTGCCCCCAAATGGGAGAGGATTCAAATTGATACTGCTGCTTGGACACATCCTGTTACTCATGTGAAATCCCAAATCATGATGATCATTGATGAGGGTAGCAGGTTTCGTTTGGGGAGGGTTTTGTTTGATCATCCTACGAAAACACCTACTTGGACGGATATGAGACAAGTGTATGAGGAGTCATGGAGAATGATGATTGGTAACCCTCATACGGTTAGGGTTGATCCGGCGGGAGCTTGGAGGAGTGATGCGGCTAACCAATATTTTTCTGAACGGGGAATCATGTTGGAGCCCATTCCGGCTGAAGCACATTGGCAAATTGGTTTGGTCGAGGGTTGTATCAAAACCATGAAAGGCATCATGACTCAATTGGCTCAAGATTTTCCCGAAACTACCACGTCTGAATTGTTGGCTCAAGCTGTTTGGGCTAGTAACAATCAGGATAACCATCGTGGGTTTTCTCCTTTCCAACATGCTCTTGGCAAAGCCCCTGATGAACATGGTAGGATGTTTGAAACTGATGATCAAAAACCTATTCATCCGGAGTTGATGCATGACGGTGGTTTTTCAGATGATGTCAAAATACGGACTGCTGCTGAGACAGCCTTTCTTCAGGAACAGGCACAACGACGTCTGGAGCGTGCCTCCAGAATGGGTCCTAGGGCTTCCCACCAATATGTTCCGGGCGATTTGGTTTACTATTGGCGTAAACAGGTTGCTGGAAGAAGAGAAGTGATTAGTTTTCGGGGAGGGAAGTTTTTGGGACCAGCAAGGGTCATCGCTACAGAGACTCGTAGAGAACCAGATGGTGGACTCCGTCCAGCAAGCGTCATCTGGATCCATCGTGGAGGTCGTTTGCTGCGGGCAGCTCCAGAGCAGTTGAGACATGCGTCCCAACGAGAGCAATGGATTGAGGAACTCAAAGGACCTGTGGAGTTACCATGGACTATCACCTCTTTAGCTTCTAGTGGGGTCAGAAGAGGGTACATTGATATTTCTCATGATATCCCCGAAGAAGATGTGTGGATGGAGTCTCATGATGTTCCCCCGGAAGAACCCAATTTGGACGATGATATCCCCCAGAAAAGAATGAGAGTTAAGGGTCCGGGTATTTGGGCGTCCACAAATCCTGTCTCCGGACAGCAAGAACAGAGTAGGACTGTGAACCCTGGCTCCGGCCAGCAAGATGGTTCGGGTACCTTGGCATCTGCAAATCCTGTCTCCGGACAGCAAGAAAAGAGTAGGACTGTGAATCCTGGCTCCGGCCAGCGAGATGACAAACGGAGTTCGCCATTTGACACTGGAAGTGGTGCCAGCGGAAGCCGTCGTAGGTTGCATAGCCCCAAAGATGACGATCTTTTTGTGGAAGACATGTCAGTTGTTCAGATTGAAATCCCCCTTCCGGAATCCAATAGAGGTTGGAAACGATTTTCTGGGAATCCCGAAGCTTTCATGTGTAGTAAACTGAAAAGAAAACAAGTGGAAGTGAGAGAGAAGAACTTGACTGAAAAAGAGGCTCAGGCCTTCAATGAGGCAAAGGCAAAAGAGGTTAGGAATTTTCTGGCTGCCGAGTGTTTTCAGTTGTGTAAGGACCGGAAACCCAAAGAGTCTGATGTTGTGGGTATGAGATGGTTGTTGACTTGGAAGGGTCAAGATACGGGTAACAGTGATGGTGAGAAACGCCCCAAAGCTAGAGCTATTGTTTTAGGATATCAAGACCCCAAATATGAATCCCGTGAAACATCAGCACCAACCCCAACAAAGGCTGGCCGTCAGTTATTCCTGCAATTTGCTGCTTGGCGTCGGTTCCGAGTGGCAAAAGGTGATATCTCTGGAGCCTTCTTGCAAGGGCTCGACATGGACGAGGAACTCTGGGTGAGGCCTCTCCCAGAAATCACCAAGGAGTTGAAAGTTCCTCCGGGAACTCCGATGCTGCTGAAGAAAGCAGCGTATGGTTTAGTCCAAGCCCCCCTTCATTGGTTCAGAAGTGTTTGTGCCTTTTTGGGCGAAATCGGTTATGTTCAGTTGCAAACGGAAAAATGTTGTTGGATATTCAAGGATCAACATGGTGTTGTTCGTTCGATTGTTCATGGTCATGTTGATGATTTCATGTTGGCTGGTAGTGATGGTTGTGAAATTCATGCTGGTTTGATGAAACGACTTCAGGAACGGTTCAAGTGGGGAGAATGGGAACTTGGGTCATTTACCCAATGTGGTATTCGGATGATTCAAAAGAATGATTGTTCATTTGAGATCGACCAACAAAAGTTCATTGAGGATTTGGAGGAGATTCCAATCACCAGAGATCGTAGCAAGATGTTGGAAGACAATACCACTGAGAAGGAGAAAAGTTTGTTGAGAGGTGTTCTTGGTAGTTTGTCTTGGTTGTGTGGTCAAACCTGTTTTCTGTACTCGGTTGATGTTGGTTTTCTGATCACTTGTATTCCGGTTAGTAAAGTGTCTGATATTGTTAAAACCAACCAACTTGTTCGTGCGGTTCAAAAATGGAAACATTTGAGGTATAGGATCCACTCATTTCAACCACATGAGAATTTGGAAATGGTTTGTTGGGCTGATGCGGCATGGGCTAATAGACCCAATGGTAAGGATTCCACGGCAGGAGTTTTCATTGGAATGTCGAATGCTTCCCTCCGAGAAGGGAAGGAGGCAGATGTGTCGCCAGTTTTCTGGCGAGCGAGCAAAGTGGAGAGGGTTTGCAGATCTCCGGCTTGTGCCGAATGCATGGCAGCATTGGACGGAGAGGATGACTTGGTGTTCCTCCGGTTTCTCTGGGCAGAGATGCAAGGTTTTTCAGTTGACCCACGGTATCCTAGTTTGGGTGCAAGGAAAGTCCCTGGGATGCTGATTACCGATGCGAAAAATCTGTTTGACAAACTTCACCGACCTGCTGTCATTGTAAAGGGTGCTGAGAAGCGGAGTACTATTGAGGCCATTTCCCTTCAAGAACATTTGATTTCCAGTGATACGGAGATAAGATGGGTGAATGGTGATAGTATGATTGCGAATTCCCTGACCAAACCAAGTGAAAAACACCAGTTCTTTCTGTTTATCAACTTGGGTTTTCGTTGGAAGATTACCTATGATGAACTGATGAGGAGTGCCAAAGTCAGGAAGCAACAAGGCTTGGAACCTTTGCAGTCCAGCACCAGCAGCACACCACAAAATCACCAGCAACCACATCAGCAACCTCTCACCTACCATCAACACCTACAAGAGATGTACGACGATGATGATGTTTGTTTTTGTGTTCGGGACCCGTGATGTTGTTTGTTGCTTGTTTTAGCATCCACTCTGGCAAAATCATGTTCCGAAGATCTTTTGATCAATTTAACTGTTTGGGACCTGTGCAAATTCATTCATGAATTTCTGCCTTCTTCACGATGATTTAGGACCAAGCACCCCTCTAGGTTGTCAGGAAAAGGGTTCGCTGCTCCCAGTTTTGCACATAGTTCCACCCTTCCTACAAATAATCGTTTAATAAAAACAATAAAATCATCTACACATGTGCGGTTTTCTATATTTGATTCCAAGATGGTACACACCAGTAATCAAAAAATGCCCAGAGAAATTCCACCACCGATCAAAATCCAGTCCCAGTAAACCTCCATGTTTGGGGAGTTTCCTGCCACGGGTTTGACTACAAGAGGCTACCCTCTGGTAATTTGTTACATAGCTATTGAACATGGCCCAGTCGAAATAGTGGATTTACCCAGCTAGAAAATGGTGGATCTTTCCATAGTTATGTAACAGTTTACCGGAGGCTAATTCTGTGGTAAAATCACATTGCCATTTCAATCCATTTCATCTCTTGATTTCGCCCGGCGGAAACTGGCCAGGGTTGAGTACCAAGGCACAAAAATCCCATGACACAGTTCACAATGATCTGGTTGAATTATCTCAACCAAAACATCCCAAATTATACCTATTCTGTTGAAATTCATCTACTTAGTAGATGCTGAACACATTTCCATTTAAGTTTATCCATTCAGAATCATGACTTTATCCCATTGTCGTCTATAATACCTATAATATATCCATATGGAATATATATATATATATCCATTATAATGGGATATATTAAAAAAAAAAAAACATATCTATATATATATATATTCATAATCTATAATGGGATATATCTATATCCATGATATCCCATTGTCATCTATAATTGCTGCTGAACTCCCATGGCCCCACCTTCGGCGAGGCTTTCGGTGCCTTCGCTTTGGCCTCGCTTTCGGCGCGACGGGATCCAAGGCACGGGACAATTTTACGACGGGTATGGGACGCCATAGGGCCATAGAAATATGCCAGAAAACTGGATCTAGATACGTTTTTTTTCTATGTACGTACATGTATATATATATATATATATATATATATTTATATGATATATATGATATATATTATCATATATATATATATAAGGTAGGTGGGGCCCCCGTTTACGATAGCTATTAAGTTGGTGACCACACCTCCAATAACCACGGCTCATGACAATTAGGACTATAGTTGATCGGGATTACAAACACATTTAAACAGGGGGGGTGCACCTTGTATACATACATACATACATTACATTACATTACAGTACATTACATTACATTACATTGATTTAATACATACATACATACATACATTATATTACATTACATTACTTTACAGTACATTACATTACATTACATTGATTTAATACATACATACATACATACATTATATTACATTACATTACATTACATTACATTACATTACATTACATACATAATATATATATATATCTACATACTACGGGGATGTTTCCATATACTGTATAATTACATCTCCATTATACATTCCCATATTGTTGCTTGATTACATTACAATACTACAGTTATATTCATACAAGGTGGTGCCATAGTTATAAGTTGGTTTATAATCCCCATTAACTATAGATATAACCCCCATAAACCCTAGTTATTGGACTTATAAACCAACTTAGCTAACTATGGGGCACCACCTTGTATTATGTCCCCAAATTTGATAGTTCAACACATTTGACGTAACTAATCATGGTTGTTGGTGATGTATCTCGCATTTTATCCCCAAATAATATGACATCGCATGGTTAAATCGCATGGTTTTCACCATTTCTAGCGGTTGATGCCCCATTTCTAATGTCAACAGATTGGTTTAAGGGTTTCTTTACAGGAAACCCTTCATATTTCATCGAACAATTGGTTTCCGGTTAAGATTTTCCCTTAAACCAGTCCATTTATGTTGGGTTGAACCTCAATTTTTGCTGGTAAAATCAAGTGGTTAGTGAAAGATGTGACAGGATTGATGTGACGGGATTGACGTTCCTGGTCATGTTCTTCAACAAGTTCTGGAAACATGCTTACCCTCCAGTAATTTAACATAGCTATGGCCCATTGACAGACTATCCTATTAAGAATGGTTATTTTATAGCTACCCTCTGGTAAACGAATATAATGATTGAAAACCACAATTTTGGTAGGTAACTCATTTATCTGTATTTCTATGGGCCATTTCAATAGCTATGTCAGTTTACTGTATGGTTGCTTTTATTCCCATGACATTCCCTTATATCCAATGATTGTCATTGATTTGGTTGATCATATTCAATGATTTTCATGGATAAAGTGGAGGGTAGGTCATTAACATAGCTATGGGTTCCATGGCCCAGTGATAGACTATTTACCTCTTAAGAATCATTAATAGGCATCTTCTGTAGCTATTTCAAATGTCCAAAGGGTATGTCATGGTATGTCCAAAGGGTACAAGGTGGTGCCCCCCTCAGCATGGTTTGGTTTATAAACCATAGATCCATAGTAAATTAACCATAAATTTGTTTATAAACCATAGATCCATAGTAACTAGTTCGAATATCTAAATCTACAATAAACCCAATCCTTATTGGAGTTATGTTCACCAATTCAACTAGCTACTTGGATGTGCCACGAGAAAAGGATCCGTGGTTTATCCATATATAACCCCGTCATAAACCATGATAATACCTATATATATAATTATATATATATGTATACATATATATATGTATACATTTATAAGTGACGATCTTCTATATATATATGACACTATTTTATTATATATATATATATATTGTGTATATCATATATATATATATATATACAGTAAGTGATGATCTTCCATTTTTTGCTATTTTTTGGATCCATTTACGATGCGTGGGGCCCGCACCCCCAACCACCAAGGGATCGTCTGAGCTTTCCCACCAAGGAGGCCAAAGAGGTTTGCTTCTCCTGGGAAGCGAGGCCAAAGAGACGACTCCGAAGAGATGACGTTTCTCTGAAAATGGCTGAAAACCATGGGTTATTAATGGCAAAAACCATGGTAAAAATTACAAAAACCATGGTTATTAATTATTAATGGCAATAACCATGGTTATTCATGGTTTACCCATGGTTTTTCATGTGGATTTAAGCATGGGTGTGTACTATAATGGCTTGACGACTATTAAAGTGTATTCTACCATCATGATTCTGATTATCAATATGACATGGTTAATAATGGTTAATGATGGCTAAGAAACGTAGCGATTACAGAATGACTTGTTCCTAGGATACATGGGATGTTCCCTCTGGTAATTTGTTACTTATAGCTATTGAAGCCATGGCCATTTAGTTCGATTATCGGATACCCTAATTGCAATTTTAATGCGAAAACTGAGGTGTCAATCCATTTGATTTGGGGCATTTTCAGACAAAAGCGTATATAGTTCAACTGTTCAACATTGTTCCAAAAAAAACATGGGCCTTTGACAAGCAAACTTTCATGGGATTTCTATGGGTTCACCCAAGATTCGTGGAACTCGTCTACTTTTCCCAAAAAGGGGTGAAGTAAGCCACTTGCTAAGTGGGATGAGCCACCAAGAACTTTTACTTAAATAGTTAATAATCCATCCCCGAAATCACCATGTTTATGGGTATAAGCCATCAAAAATGGAGTGGTTAGCTTATTGTTTTAACCACAATTCATATCGTTTTTAGGGGTCAAATGAGTCAAATGTGGGATTCAACCAAGGCGATTCAACACAAAAATGAAGAACAGTAAACATACGTACAGTAAGCTATTGATCATCTGGATTCAACCCCCGGGCTGGTTGAGATTCGCTCCAAACATCAAGCCATTCACATCAGGGAGGGGCCACCGTTACGGTTAAGTCCTGAGGAATTTAGCACCGCTGGAAGGGGTCAAGTATCCAAGCCCCGCCCCTGAGTTGGTTCAGAATTCAGCGCAGGGTCACCATGCGTGTAGCTTGCAAGAACAGACCCCAGGAAGCCTAAAACATGGCCAAAAAGGATTACAGGCACATAAGGTACACAAAAGTAACATAATGCATGTTTGGGCTACACAATGTTGACACATACCCCTTGTGATAGGCGTGACGAAAAGCAACATCCTGCACTCGTGGAACTCCGGAATATCACATCTCACGCCGGGTGGTATCCCCCCCAGTTATAAATTGGTTATAAGCCCACTAACTATAGATATATCACCAACAAAAACCATAGTTATAACGGAGTTATGCTCATCAACTTAGCTATCGAACGGGGGCACCACCTTGTGGGTGACAATTGTCACATTTGATGAAAAAGTGATGATTGATCAGGGGACTTTGAGGTACCTTGAGAGGTACCGCTGCATCTGGCAGTTTCAGTGGCTGGACAACCTGGCCACGTTTTCGAGGGGAATTTTGCTGACGAATGGGGTACAGATGTAAACATATAGATTCATATGAGAAGGGAACAAAAGTAGAGGTCACAAAGGCGGTCATGATGCAAAAATTATCACTAATCCCTTCCCCCTATTACTAAACCCCCCCAAATAATAAAAACCAGGGTGCGTCTCCAATTTTGGAAAATTTGAGATTGGCCAATTTGACTTTTAATTGATCCCCTTTAGAAAACAATTTGAAAATGAAGCTACCATTTGTGGGTTTCACCCCCTAATAATAAAAACTAGTCAACCCCGGGATGTTGTTTATTAGGGTCCGTCTTTTAGTAACAAGAGTATTTTGTATTAATGTGTTTATATAATTTAATATTAGGGGGAAGCTTTGAAATCCAATTTTTGGCAATATATTAATTAAATGCTAAAAGGACATCTAATCGATTTTGAAATAGAAAATGTTAGGTTTTCATATTAGGGTTTTTAGTTTAATATTAGGGGAAAGCTTCGAAATCCAATTGTTGGCAATATTTTATTAATTAGATTTTAAAAGGAAATCTAATCAATTTTGAAATAGAAAAAAACAGTTTTTTATATTAGGGTTTTGAATTTAGTATTAGTGGGAAGCTTCGCACCCTAATAATAAATACCCCCTAATAATAAAAATACACATGAGGTGTTTATAATTTTGGGGGAGGGGGTTTAGTATTAGGGGGAACGGATTATATTTAGTTCGCTGTGGCTATATCGCTTTATGCTTTTACTGCGAAGGTTTTTGCATGGACTTTTTAGGTATATTTTCTGTTTTTCTCTCCTATACTGAAGTTTATAATCACGAAAGTATGCTACAGACACTGCCAATCTTAGATACCCTGCAAAAAAATAATTCTTTGCTGGTTAGTAGATATTCCCATTAATACCAAAAGACTAAAGGATTAGTTTGTATCCATGCAAGATTGACCTAGTAGTATGCCATAGTATGCTATAGTCATATTTGATATTCAGCGTTACTCAGGAAAAATAATGAACGTTCAGGGTTCCATCTGAGTCATCGGCCTGACCAGGTTCAGTATCACTCAACTGGTCTTGGAATATGTTGGGGGTTGATCATGTAAATGACGGTTGAAATGGTATTTCTGTTCATTTTTTGTTTTTTGGCATCCAATGTGTATGGAAAACTTGATGAAGACCCCTGAAACATCCTGCAACCAATATTGAATCTGGGATGCAAAGATGTCATACCTTCAATTCAAAGTTGAAGAAACGATCAGTCAATCACCTGCATGTTTATCCCCTTCATTCACCTGTCAACCCATCAACCGCAAAGAGGACCCCCCACGGGGAACTTGTAACACTTGGGCTGCGACACTTGGGCTGCTGGTCTCGTGGATCCTATATTTTTTGGCTGTTTCAATCACATCATGCGCATCGATAGAATTCGATAAGCATAGTCAAACATAAATATATGCAACATTATGCAACAAATACAATCAATCAAACGGCTACACCATTTTTTTTTACATGTCAAGATTTTATGTAGACGAGCTACGAGCTGAGCTCCTCAGGTTTCCCGTTTTTCACACCATTT